GATCGGAGCAATCATTCAGGCGGTCTGCGCATGCGCTGGTTCTGAAAGCCATGCTAAGCAGCTACGTCTTCAGCGTATCTCTCTCGGTAAGCATTTCAGGTAGCCTATTCCACTGTGGTTGCTAGATGATTCTGTCCTGAATGCCCAAGTGTACACAACATAGTGATGCTGCCTTGCTTGTGTGTTACAGGTGTAGCTGCTCACTTTGTATCCGAGCAGATGGGCCAGGAGTCTTTTGTTGGAAGCGGAGGTGAACTCGTAATAATGCAAGCCTTAAACACTTTCCCTGGCGAGCATTCTATTGCGCAGCTTTCATGTATCATAGTCAACTCCATCGCCATGACGTCGGGAGACATGTACGATAGTATCAAAACAAGGGAGCTCGTCTCGGCATTCAAAGGAGTGAGAAGAAAATAGGAAGTGCTTGCTCCACGGCGTTTTTGAGTGGAAGCGGCTGTTCTTTAGTCATTGTTGCCCCGTGTCTGTCGTGAGTTTTGTTTCAGAGCATTTCAAAGATTGGGAACAAGAAACCTGAAGAGAAGGCGGTTCGTGATGAGTGCCAGAAGACTCTGGATGCTTTGGGCTCAAGTGGGCTAGTGGAGGAATTGCAGTCGCACTAGTCAGTCTTCTCGATGCGTAGGACGGTGCATCTGAACGGCTGCAGCGCTTATGTAGTGTTTTGCGTATTGTTCAGATCTTGATCCCATGGATGCTTTTGCTTCGACTGTCACCGAGTTGGACTTGAATATTACGCAGTGGAATGTAGACCCATATCCCAATGGTGTCCATGACCTGCCTGTACACGTGAAGGAGGCTCTGCGCAAGGGTGGAGAACTCAAAGTATATATTGGCGACAAGGAGGCAGAAAAGATAAGATGGCGTAGTTCTCAGGATCTCAAGTGAGTGGATGGTGCTGCAGGCCGACTGCATAGCTCGTTTTGCTCACGATTTTTACGGAGCATGGTTGATGGTCCTCGATTTTTCTTGTTTGCAGTGCTTTCGAGTGGAATATCGGTAATGAGACGGACTGGAATAATCGCGTGCCCATTGTTCGTATCCGCAACGTTGCGAAGGGTTTATCGCACCCAGCGCTTGTCAAGGCAAACAAAAAGTCCCGAAGCGGTCAGCGATCACAGCACCTTGCCGACACAAGTTCCACAAGTTCGCATCAAACCGATTGTTCTAGCTCTACTTTATTCGTTTTTCGTCGCGATATTTTCCTTGCATCATCGTTAGCTTTGTTTGCTGTCTTGCTCTGGCTGCAGTTACGTCAAAGATTTGTTTATGCATATTTGGCCCACCGAACGAAGACAATCCAGCCGGTATTGAGCTCCCGCTTCGCGCGAAGTCTCAGAAAGAGCGTGATCACCTCGTGGAAATGCTTGTCCAATGGCGCGACGCTGCCACATACAACTTTTAAGTGCCATTTGGACTCGAATACTTGGGGCAGTGTCGTCTACGATGGCGAAATCTTCAGCATTGCTGTAGGGTGTGTTGCCGATGCTTATTTTCACTTCGCAGCATCATTACGGAGACTTTAACGTTAAATTGTTGGTGTTTGTTGGCTGTGCTCATGCTTTGTAGTAACGAGGCCCATGGCACACTATCTTTATCGCATCCCACAGGGAATTCCGTGGATAAAATTGCAGTAGTCAATGATAAACTCGCAAACTTGCAACTTTGATCTCTTGGGTACGCCTAGCTTATGAAAGCAGTATGGAGTGGCGGCTCACCGTTCATGGTCAGCTTACGTCCCGGTGCAGTTCTGATGTGTTATCGTAGGTAGTTGTGGAGTCGCATTAGCTTCGAAGTATTGGTGGACAGTAGAATTGGTATGATGTTTGAGAGACAACTAACTGCTCCATGTAGTGCAGAAACTCGAATATTTTTGCTGCGTGTACGTTGAGTGACCCGCAGTTTTTCGTGAGCAGTTTACGTACCGCTGTTGGTGTAGGCGTAACGTGTTATTTGAGGTACTAGGGGAGTCACATTAGTTTTGAAACAGTAATGAACAGTATGGAGTTTTGCACCACTCAGCACGGTACGTATGAAGGGAAGGACGCCTAGAAAACTGATGGACTTGGCAAAAGTGGGTCGAGGTTTGAAAGCGCGGTTGAAGTGAGGCCTCGCAACGAGAGCGTGGCTTCGGTCCTCTATGAAGCTACTTTGAGCACGAAGCCAGGAACACAGTGGATACAGCATTTCGACAGTCTGCTCACGTAACGATTCGTGACACAGGCTTACTGGTGAAGAGACTGATGGACTGTTCAGAACTGCCCATTAACTTTTTCGGGGAGCGAGTTCAAGATGTCACCGACTCTCTTCTCAGTCACTTCATCAGTAACAAGGTCTTTCGGCCCTTCAGGAGAGGCCTCCCCTTGAACTAGCTTAGCAGCACTCCGTGCTGTATTTGCGACAATAGATGACAGACCCTCACCCACAGAATTGGCGAGAGCGGAAAAAGAAGTAATGGGCGACGCGTCTAGTTCCACTCTTTTTGGTTGGAGTGTTTGCTGGGCTTGTGGTACTGGGTAGGACTGAGCGGGCTTCTGTGACGGAGAAGGGAAAAGGCGACTCAGGAAGCCGCCGAAAATCCCACCGTCTTCCTGCGCACCATCCTCCTTCCTGTGGAGAGGTGCTTCATCTAACGACTGAGCCGAGCGTGTTTGAACGTCTTCTGCCGTACTTCCCGATTTCCTTTCTCTAGTTGACACTTCATCGACGGCTTCCTCTGCTTGCATTATCTTCTCCCGTGATACCACAGCGGCAAGTTCCTGTGCAGGCTGTGGTTCTGTTTCTCTGTGTGCACTTGCATTTGGCTCAGCATCTGAGAACAACAGTGCTAGCCAGCTAGCTAGGTCATTGTATTCAGAACGGCTGAAACGAATTATACTTTTGGCTTGCATCGCAGCTTGGAAAAGAAACGCATCAGCATAGTATAATGCCTCTTTTGTCTGCTCTGGGCTTGCGGCTCTGGTGTCGAATGCTGGGAGTAGCAGCTGGCAATTCCAGAACGCGCCAAGGGCTCGTATTGCATAATGGAGAAGCTGCGGTCCTAGGGTAGAGCTCAAATGCGGGTCATCATGGAGATTTACTTGGCCTTTCTTAAAGGAATCAACGAGGGAACTTGCCCCTACAAGTCTAAGCAGTTTGCTCTGTGTCGAGCTGGGGGCAACCATTGGATCACCTTCAAGAAAGCCAAGGTGCCTGCAAACTTCAAAAGGAAGTATTCCTAAGCGACAATCGCCATAAGCTAGTGCCGGTCCTGGAAGCGAACTCCCAGGTTGAATCTTTGCTGGCTGCGGGCTTGTCCTGGGCTCGAAAGCGGTCTTCATTTCTTCAAGAAGGGCAACCTTAGATCTCAGGACGGCTATTGCGTTGATCACACCCATGACCTTTTGCCTCGGCGCAAGCTCTGCGAAGGGTGTGAAGGACGACCGTAACGGAGCTTGGCTACCAACGCCAGCACTGGTTTCGCCAATTGGGCGCATGACTTGCTTCTGCTCTGCCACCACATTTGGGTCAGGTGAAGTAGATGCCCCGATTGCCGACACAAGACAGAAGGTACACAACGTTGAAGTGAGTAGCTTCATCTTCACTGCACAGAAGGAAATTTATTTGGATCACCTGCACACCTTCGGGAAGCTTCTATGACAAGTACATAGTAGCCTAAAAACCTGATCCCAAACACAGCTCTTGCTATGTAAATACCAAGAAGAAACCTGCTTGAAATAAATAGCATGTGAAGATGATATAGACGGGCAGGTCGCCCTGCCGTACCTGCTGTGCGGACAAAATGTCCTTTAGCATTAAATCCCCCCAAACGTAAGCAGGTGCAGTCGGAACACGATCAAAAGCGTATCAATTTATGATTTAGCACTTAATAATTACATTGCATTGGAGCAACTGGCCAATCTGGAGCGGTGACAACAACCACCATATAGTAGTGATCGATCCAAGCTATCTGTGCACGTGTCTACTTTCTATCTTGGTTACGTAGGCAGGCTAACACAAAACATTTGCGCCACACATGTATAGTGGTAATTTACAGACATAAATTTAGAGCGTTTGACCGGAAGAGATGCCCTCTTTTCTTCTGCAAAGCTACGCCACGTTTTCTGGTTAAAGGTCACCCACGAGCCTGGCCCACCGTCGTCATGTCACGAGGAAATCTGAAAATCCCGAGCAGGCCGACTAGTAAACATACTGTGTTCAGTGTCATATAAAGGAAAAAATTGTGTGCATAAGGAGGTATGCTGTGCGTAAAGGCTTAGACGGACTTCACAGGACAGGTTCTGCTTACTTCAACTGCAGTAGCAACGATGTGCTTTTTGGCTCAAATGGATGAATATCCATGTTGAGCATCAATTATGTACCAGTATATTATTCCAAATATTCATGAAATTTCCATGAACAACCCAACTAGCCGACTGGCACTAGTTTGCGCTCAAACACGAAGCCAGCCGCAGCTTGATGCTACTTCCATACAAGTTGCATTTCCTCTGAATGGCCTATGGAGCCTCAGCACGAAGAGTCCCAGCATTCTTCAGTACCATGTTTGTCGGCGTACTTCATGCTGTGTTCAGGAGTCCTTTACACACATCTCTTTGTATTCCTGCTACTACAATGTAGCCTATCCGCACAATGCGACTTGAGGGTACTTCTCTCCGTAGAGGAACTTACGTGAGGCTCTTGCTGAAGTGGCAAGGACACTCTTTTGGGATTGTATGCAGTCGTTACTGCTACTACGGCAACAAAATAAATGTGCCATCGCCGGCTATGCCAAACCCCCGCCAGTCGATAGATCCTGCACCGTCACTATCCTGAGCATTAGCTTTGTCGAAGGTAAGGACCTATATAGCTACAAACGTTTCACTTGCTTCCGTGGTTCCTTTGCCGCGGAGTAATCCGAGCTGCAGCTACCCGTAACGCTCCCTGGAGAGCTAGGACACGCAAAAAGCCGCAGTCAGGCGCTGAAGTCAGTCCCTATAACGCCGTTATCAAGCCAATGCAACCCTGCTACCCGCTAACTGTAAAAGACTTTTCTTGAGCCGCTGCGCTTTCTTGGGGTCACTTGGCGCATTGGAACAGTTCTTGGTGTCTGCATCGTGCTTTGGCGCATTGTCAATCGTCTGGGGACTGGTGCTTTCTGCAGACCCCCCATCACTAATGCACGTGCTGAAGTCCTTTGGATGCAGATGTGTACGATGTGCTTTCAAGGGCGATACCGAGATCAAGCTCGGCTCAAATCCTATGGAATCGTAGGAATTTGAACTGCTGCTGTCTTTCTCCAGCAGATCACTGCCATGCTTTCTATAGCGTCGGCAGTTAGACAACGCTTCTGGAGATTCCGTTGAAAGCTTGCTGCCTCTCTCTTTGCCGGGACAGATGCTATCGTCAAATAAACTCTTCTGGGAAATATGTGAGACGATTAAATGTTCGATTGACTCAATCCGCCCTCGGTATGTTTTGTTTAAATAGGGAAGACAATGCCGGTGGTAACGCTGCAGTTCCTGTAGAGCACCCGAAACAACACAAGGAACTTCTTGCCCAAATGACCAGCCACGATAAAACACAAACACCTGACAGAAACCGTAGGTGCCCACACAGGAGGTGTCTTTATACCTGCAAGCTTAGAGATGGCTTGAAGCTGTGCAACGCATTCATGACCTGTTCCTCGGTTATCGTCACTTGTTCAGAGTCACTCACGCTCCACTCAGCTGCGAGCAAAACAGCACCAACACAACAGCATGACGCTCCGCCAGAACTCCCATTAAGGCAAGCGCATGTGGTAACCGCGAATTTGTACCCGCGGACTCTTCCTGCAGTTCATGCGGAATTATCACCACATACATGCCGTGCTGGCAAGTGTTTCCCGGATCGCAAAAAGCTGCGCTTGGTTAACAGCTGCCTGAAACACAACAGGACCCAATGCCACACTGGACATCAATGAGTTCCACCTGCGAGTGCCCTGCAGCGTGATCACTGCGTGCGAGGGTACTTTCAAGTGCAATTAATGTTGTTTTCCAAAATGCAGTGCCCCTAAAGAAAGGTACCTGAATATCTGCCGGGGTGAAGGTCCAGGGAACCGACGGCCCCACAGTGTCAACGTCGAACGCAATACGACAGTTAAGAGATTGGAGGGCTACAGCCAAGATCTCCGTTTTCTCAACAATCGAAATAGGAAGTCCACAAAAGCACACCTGCAATTAAAGCATAATCAATGCAATGAAGTAGCGAAGAGAGCTTTGAGATTTTACAACCAAGCGTGGTTGAAGAGACGTGTGGACGCGACATTAACGTCAGTAGTACTAAGGAGTGCATCAGTGAAAGAAAACAGCATTCACGTGGGTTTTTGTAAGGTAGGAGAGTATATGCAAGTAGTTACAAGCCGCACGCCAGTACCTTTTCAAAGCGTCCTGGGCGAAGCAAAGCGGAGTCCACAAGGTCAGGTCGAGATGTCGTAGCAATTACGAAAACACCCTGTGCACATACTACCACTCGCTGCGGTGCGCTGTCCTTTCAAGCTTTTAATGACCGAGCATGCAGTACAGCTGTGAACATTTAGTGAGTGAGACTATCTGCACGCGTTTTGCAAGTAAATAATTCATGCTTTGACTCAATTGCTGCTTGCTGGCATACTTCGCGCGCCTCGATGCCGTCCAAGTAGCACAAGAGCTGATTGACGACTCTGTCCGTTACGCCTGTAGTATCGCCTCCACGCCTGTATGCACAAAGTAGGCGCCTACAGCAACTATCCTTCTTGCAATGGATATGGTGTTGGAGCGCAAAGTGGTTCGCGACATTTGTGGGCAGAAAACCCACTTTGTGGCCAACGCTTCGATTTCATCGAATAAAATTGCGCACGGTTTCGCCGCTCGTGCTTTCTGGAACACGTCCCTCACTGCTGCCTCACTTGACCCAATAAACTTGCCAAGCAGCTCTGGACCCTTGACACTGCGTGCAAAGAAAAGCACTACAGTTGTCATCATTCTCAGTAGCTGAGCCCAGGCTCGTCGACATCGGGTTCACTTTGTGATATATTTGAGGCCATTCCCCAGTAAACTCACTGAATGCAACGAATCCCTGCTTCTCCCACTGCAGCGACAGCGAGGTGGGTCTTTCCGCATCCAGGGGGTCCAACAAGGATGATCCCTTGATGCATTGAGATGCCAGCGGCGTTCACTAAGGAGGGGTATGTGCGTTGCAAAGTCAGCAGATCGTACAGTTCTTCCTTTGGCTGCATTTCAACAGGCAAAGTCTTTAGGAGTAAATTTACCGATATATGCAAAAAAGCAAGAGTCTCCCTATAGTCAGGACTCTTGGACCAGACTAACCGTGTGCAAGCCGCCAACATGAGAGTAGCGCAAATCTGGCCTAAAAGCAAGACCACACGTCAAGCAAACAATTCGAATATTCTGGAAGCAGATAAGCCACCCGTTGGATGCACCAGAAATGAGCAGAAATTTGCTGTAAAACGACCTGTACCAGCATCTCAAACTCAGAAAGCCGCCGCTGCTGCTACTCCCATTGCTGCCTTGCATTTGCTGCTCAGAACTCAGGTAGCCGTCTGCTGGACGCACTGAATAAAGGAATGCGACTCTGTTGCCCGTGGAACCACATCCTTAAGAGCCTTGCAGAAATGGGATGCGTGAATGACTGCTGAGGGTTTGACATTCCTTGAAGAATCCCGGGGAAACCCCAGGAGGCTCTCTCCGACGGCACGGGTCACCACTGCCTAGAGAAGGCAAGAACACAAACAGCTAAGAATCCACGTACTCTCAAGTCTATACCTCCTCTTCCGCAAATGCAAGACAATACTGAGTACACAAGGAATTCTTCAGTCGACTGAAATCATCGTTATTTACCATATAAATGCATAGGGACTCAAATTCTGTTAACCGCCGTACTCGAGGGCGCAGAGGAGTTTCAAGCCAAGACGCATCTTACTTGGAGGTCGGCCAGGCTGTATCCTTCAAGCTGGTTTGCGATTTCCCAGAAATCCCCTTCATCTGTCATTAGCGCATCGTCAAGCAGGAGGGGCAACCCGTTGTCCAGAGGCGAATCTCGTAGGAGGGGACTGGCGCCGTCGACGGATGTGACTACAGATCTAGCCAAAGCGAACTTCAACAGGGCCCGTAGCAATTGTAAGCGAGCGCCAACTGTCGCTAAGTTCGCAGCAGTACAGGAACATGCAGTACCTACGGTTCTATGAGACTGGACAAGCTACACACATGACAAATCATGGGAGATGTCGTTTGCATGAACTTAAAACTGCCGAATTTACAAACGCTTCTATAATTCCGCTCGTTGCCCCCAAACCTGCAAGTAAAGCGACCTTAAGACCTGGTGAGTTCATAAATTATATGCAAAGACGATTTTGCAGGCGTATGTAAGGCTTACAAGTGTCGCAGTGCACACGTAGCTTCGAACTACCGAAAAGCGACGGCTGAGAGAGAAGAGGGTGTAGAGATGAGGCATCCACTACCGTTGCCAGAGTCAGCACACGCCGTGCAAATCCTTCCATGCTACTTTCCCTGGACCACTCCAACCCACACGGACCCATCCCACCGACACCATGCGATACGCGAGTGATCAGGTCAAGCAAGTACGCAGCAATGGCTCCCCCTCGTGCTTCAGCAACAGTAGGTCCTCCGCCCACTTCCTCCCCCGAAAAACACAAGACATCCTGCGTACACAAGTCAATCACACGTATATAGTCAGCCAGCCACACGTTAACAGTCAGCTAGCCAACAATGCCACTTTGTGTTCCTTCACGTGTCCCAGCTCCTGTATTCATCCGTGCTAAGCTTCCAGTTACGCTGTGTGAATTTTGTCGCCTGTGCATTGTTAGGTGTACGCAACCTCACCAAGTCCTCCAGCACCAGGAGGGCAGGGGCGTTGGCCTCCGCTGCGTCAAACGCAGCAGCGAAGGCTCTCCAGACCAGAGTCGACGGGATTGCCTCGCGGGCAAGCAGGCGACAGTGTACAATCACACCTGCACACGGCGGAAGCAGACAACCCTGCTGCAGCCCTAGATGCGGCTCTAACTTTCTGGGTGATTTCCTAGCTGAAAAAGCTTGTGGTTCTCAACTCCCAGCTAACCCAAGCTAACCCACGCTGTCTTACTGAAAGTGCCCAAGTGGCGTGTCACGTCGATGCATAAGGCTCTGCACAGAGCTGACCGACCACAGCCGCGAGGGCCGCATACCTGTGAATTCATGGCAACGCAATGCAGTGAAGTTACAAGAATGCAGTATCATCATCTGAGCCACTTGGAATTACACAGTATAGCCCTCAAATACTACAGTCAGGTGTAACTAGTTTGTTGCTGCAGCGTTGGCCTCCAGGCTGGGTGACTTCGTCACCCTTCTACAGCTGACCCTACCAGCAAGGTGGAAAGATCCAGGTTGCGCACGGCCCGGCTAAATCGCCTTTCTGCTGCTTGTGTTTCTCCATAGTTGACAGTGGGGATGCGCCCACTGCTGGTGAAGTCGGCGCAGTCTCTTCCGTCCCCCAGCCGTCTATACACTGCGCACCTCCAGATTAGCATAGTTCACGAGAAAAATGTCAGGCGTCAAAGCGCGAAGTACAGGGGCATTTATTGTGGACTGCGATGCGTTGGTTGTTCTGTTCGAGAAAGAAAACCAAAGCTATATCGTGCGAGCTGTAAAGGAGACTCTGGGGACAATGAAACACAGGTCTTCCTTTGCTGGACGCAGCACTCATTCCACCTATAGTACTTCCTAGTAAAGTGAGTCGATGATTAAATGCAGGCAATCTCAGTCCAAAGGCACTTCCAGTCACTTCTGCTAACCCCTGACAACATATCTAACGAAAACAGAAAAGAACAGGCGCAGCTTACACTTCACGCTTAACATGCAAGCACTTGCCTGCTCTTGACAGTGCTGCGGGCTGTGCACCGAAAGCGTTAAGCTTGTTGAAGTCTCTCATGAATGGCCCGATGGAGCAACCAGCAGAAAGGAGCTGATCTAGGGGATTCAAACGAGACCCGCCTTTGCAGTTGCACAGACAAAAGTGGACCTCAGCCGATGGGACTTCCACGCAGCCTTGTTGCAGCAGTTGCAGAAGTTGCGTCTCTGCCCCACTGTCACTACTTTCTGCACTCGAGACTGCAGATGGGGGTTGCACGAAGATTGAGGGTGGGGCAAGCCACCAGAGGCGCTGTGCGGCCTCAATCACCCCGGAAGTGTTCCTAGCTGTGTGAGCGTCCATTGCTAGCCCCCCACCGGAGACTTCACAATGCCCTATTTTCTCAGGCCCCTCCGTGCTGGTGTCAGTAGGCTGTTCCAACGCCCATGGAATTCCATTCGCCGTGGGAGTTCTCATGAATCGAAGGGGAAGACAGATGCTCTGCATATGCTCCTTTGCGTCTCCAGCCCCTGAAGGCACCACTAGCGGAAAGGTCACTTCAGCAGCTAAGCCACCCTCAAGGACCAAATCGCGCAAGGCGGAACTCAATAGTACGCAGCCCACGGTAGGCGTACGCGGCATCTGACGGGGATGAAAGTGGCTACGGTAAAGTGCGGCGAGGACGAGTGGCATGTCTTGGTTGAACTGGGGGGACAGCGGCTGTGGAGCCGCTTCTGTCTCTAAGGAGGGAAGAAAGAGCGACGCTTTGTCTTTTGTCCCCTCTGCATTGAAGGAAACCACGACATCGACAATTACGTGCACCACGTCTGGGTCCTCAGTGGCCTCACAACAAACTTGGGGCGAGCTTGCCCTGTCGCTAGGCTCCGCCATGGTCTCACCATTAGAACTCTCAGGCCTTGCAAGGATACTCTTTGTGTTGCTCCAAGCAGAACTGAAACCATCCTCGACTGGCTCAGCACCTCGGGCGCCTTCCAACCTTATTTCTTCAATGACGCTGCACAGATGCGAAAGATGCGCCAAGGTCGAGGGCTCACCAACTGGCCACGAGGTCACCTGCCGTTGCGCTGAGGGTCCCGCAGGCTCAGCAGGCTCTAAAAGTTTTATTTGCCTATCTCCTTCATCTTCTCTTCGACGATAATTACAGGAGTCCTCATGCGGTTGCGCCGTAACAGCACCTACTGCAACTGCCCCACACTGTGCAGCTTGTAAATCTGACGACACATAGAGGTCCCCAAGACCTTCTTCAAGCTCCTGGAGCTCTTCACGAAGCGAAATTTCAGAGGGCCTCCGACTTGTTTGGTCCAAAGAGGTCTCCACAAGGCCCTCCTGTACCTTCTGCTCTGTTGCGATCACAGCAACAGAAGAGGCATCGGTGTACAAAGTGCAGGTACTAATCCAATTAGTGCCATTTGCATCTTCACTTGTTTGCTGCTCCTTTTGCTGATGGAGTGGCACCGGGGCTTCCCTTCCTGCAGTGCGACTGGAGATACGATTTATATCCTCTTTGCTGAGGTCTACACTCAGGCGAACAACAGCACCATCCCAAAGAGGTAGACCCAGCAAACTGGCAAAAGCAGACACGGCCAGCTGTAGGCTCTCTTGCCCCTGAATTGCCTCTGAGCTATTAGTACGCAACTCCGCAGCAGCCGCAGAAGCAGCAGCGCCAAGGTTCGCTGCGGTCCCAGCAGTGGCAGCAGCGAGAGTCAAGGTCCTGTCGTCTGCTGCGTTTTTGTCAGGTAGTGTTAGAAATGTCTCGAACAATTTTCTGCGTCCTTGCTCAGTGTGGATGAGCGCAGCAGTAAGGGCATCCCTTGGCTTATTGCTGGGCCCCGTACAGCAGTGCCTTTCTCTCCCGTGTTTGCCGGCACATTCCTCAGTCTCCCTGCGTGGAAGACGCACAGAAGATGAGACGAGAGGAGTCAAAAGGAAACAGGATGGCAGGGTTGGCAGCTGGACACAAGACTCCACACACACTCTGCTGCTGAGGGCCCAGCCGTAGAGCCGACGCACGAAGGCCGGTAGACGCAGGCAGCCCAGCGGGACAGCAGCTGCAGCAGCAGCAAGCAGCAGCGCGTGGCCCCCCTGCCAGCTGCAAATGCCAGCATGCAGGCTCTCAGCAGCAGCTGCTCCCCGCACAAATACAAGGGCCAGGCTCTCTGCTGCTGCGATACTCTGCCTCAGCCGCCGCTGCTGCTCCGCTCTTCCTGTCCTGGAGGAGACAGTCCCCTCCGCTTCTTTCCGGGGTTGTTGGCTCCGCAGGGCAGGCAACAACCACTGCTGCTGCTGCTGCAGTGCCTTTACATGCAGTGGGTGCAGCAAACAAATATAGGGCCACGCCGGCTGCTTTCTGGAGGCCTCTTTGCCGCAGCAGCAGCTGCAGCAGCTGCGGCTCGACTCCAGCCCCTCAGAACCCCCCAGAAGAGGCCCTGGTGATCGCTCCTGCATGCAGCTTTCTCCTACTAATTCATCTGGCATTGGCAATACCCTGAGTATGTCTCTTTTGATTTTGTCGCCTTCAGCGCCCACCACTTCTGAAGGGGAGCCCCGACGAAAGGCAGCTTGTGCAAGGGGCCTCACATGGAGCTCTGTATTTTGACTAAGAAGAATGAACGGGGGGCCCCCAGGGGGCCCCCTGAAAGGCTCCTGAGGGGGGCCCCGCTCTAGCTCGTCTTCATCCTGTGTCTCGTGCTGCGGTGTACAGACACGCAAGAAGACAGGCTTGGAGCTGCCGCCCACCCACAACGGAAAAGGCCGGCCAGGTGTACAGACAGCGAGCTGCTGAAGCACCTGATCCTCTAGAGCTTCTGCATGAAGCTGCACGGCATCCCAGTCTTCTCTGCTCAGGGGGGCCACCTCGACAGAGGGCATGAAGGGCCCTTTTACGTGCTGCTGCTGCTGCTGCTGCTGCAGCTCTAGCTGGTCCACGTCTACTGCGGCAACCACTACTCGCTCCCCTTTGGCAAGGCCTAGCAAAGAGCAGAGAGCAGAAGCAACGCCAATGTAGACAACATCGTCGAGACGTGAGCCTGCTGCTGCTGCTTCTGCTGCTGCTTCTTTGACGGCCCCGGCATCTGCGGGGCCCAAACCTGCCCCTATCCAGCCTACATACAACTGAGGGGCCCCAACTAACTTTGCTGCCTCTGCTAGGCTTCGAGCTGGGGCCTCTGCCTCTGCAGACAGCGCCTGGGAGCCTGGGGAGATGCCTTGCTGCCGCGGCAGCAGCTGCTGCAGCTGCAGCACCCGGCAGAAGTGGCGCTGCTGCTCCCACAGAGAAGAAGCAGAGGGGGGGCCACTTAGGCGTACGAAGCAACTCTGCAGAGATGGCAAGGGCACGATGATGCCCACGTGGTGGCTGCTGACCGGGACAGTTTGCTGCTGCTCCTGTCTCTGCTGTTGCTGGTGCTTCTCAAGATGTGACACAACCATCGTGCCAGCAGATCTCCTGCAGCACGAAACTTCGGCAAATGCAGCTGCTAAGACTGAGGACTCTCAAAGAGGAGCAGATAGCAGAGGGGCCCCTTGAGGGCCCCTCTGGGCTGCAGCGCAGATGTGTCTACTGGGAAATTCCATCAATTCCAAAGACACATGCAGAAGCCATTCATGCACCTGCAGCTTCCCCGTCACACCCTGCCCTAGTCAAAGGGCCAAGTGAAACCATGGGCATTCTGCGGTGCTTCTGAAACTTGCAGGAAGCCAGGGACTCAGTGCAGACAGGGCTCGCCGGTGTAAAGAGGTGGACTAAAGAGTGAAGCTTCAAAGACTTCAGGAATTGAAGGCAACTAATGCCTTGAGGAAGGACCAATGGGGGCCCCACGGGGACGAAGGCTGCGGGCCTTGTGAGCAAGGAAAACCCCTCCTTCAATGTGGAAAAAACAGGAATTGCCTGTTTTTAGCTCTTTATACAGCAAAGCAAAGTTTATTTTTAGTGAAAAGATAGTATGTAGACTCAAGAGGGCTCCTGAGACGCAGCTGGATAGGCCGGTCCCCTCTTGTCTCCTGGTGTCTGCACACTGCATCAGCAACTGGAATGGAGGTACAACAAGTTCAATTGTTGATCGATGCCTTCAGCTCTACACAGGCTTTATTATTAATTTAAATATAAACACAGAGCCAACCTGTTGTGAGCATGGCACAGATAACCTCGCAAGGAAACCCAGTAGTGGCAACCGACACCGCAAGTGTCCCTAGTTGAATCTGAACTCCTCATGCACATGCCTGAACTTTACAGTTGCGCAACGTTTCTGAGTAGCAACACGAGCAGCTACAAAAGCAACTGCAGCAGGAACGGAAGCAGCTGCTGCGGCAACGGCAAGCTGCTGTGACAGCTGT